CCTCCCGAGTAGCTGGGATGACAGACATGTGCCACCATGCCTGGCTAATTTTTTGTATTTTTTGTGGAGATAGGGTCTCAACATGTTGCCCAGGCTGGTCTCGAACTCATGGACTCAAGTCATCTGCCTGCTCCAGTCTCCCAAAGTGCTAGGATTACAGGTGTGAGCTACTGCTCCTGGCCTTGAAGATACCTTTAAATGTTGTGCTATATGCACCATAGCCAAACTGAGTTATTGTGGAAGGTGATGGGAAGGGTTGTAAAGCTGGAAATTCAAAAGTCACGTGCAATGGTGAAATCACAAATGGTAGAGATGAGGGAATGAGGATCCTGAAGAGACAATATATAGTTGAAAGGAAGCTATAACAGGTCAGCCCCGGAGTGGGACAAGACCCTGAATTCCTGGGAGGATGAATCCCAACACTTTGGGAGGCCTAAGAGGGATAATCATTTGAGGTCAGGAGTTCAAAACCAGCCTGGGCAACAGGGCAAGATCCTGTCTCTACAAAAAAATTTAAAAAAAAAATAAAAAATTAAAAAAAAAACCAGGCACAGGCAAAGGAAAGCTCTCAGTATATCATCTCTCAGACTTGATAAGATTGACTTCTTTCTTTCAGGCCTATAGGAAGCTTCCTATTGTAATCACATTCCAATTACTAGTGCTGCTTAGACCCTGGCTTATCCAGGGTGATGGTTGTCCAGGATATTTTCCTCAGCTTTGCAAGGAAATCATCTCTCTGCTCCTTGGTCACAGAGCCTTATAATACTAATATTAATGTTTATCTTCCTTGCTCTATAAATATAGGCATACAACTTGTCCTTCCCTCCATCCCTTCTTCTCCTCTTGTCATCTCATACTTTTTAACTATTTTAGATTATAAAACTTATGACCTTCATAGCAGCTATGCCCTAGCTGGTCATCCTCTCTAGCCCTGTAATTAGCTCTGCCCTATGGGCACTGGGACTTTTGGGATCCTGGGGTTTAAAGGAGCCGTGACCGGCTTTCCACCCGGTCTGATTGCAGGTCATGAACATGCAGTACACGGGGAACCTGGACCTCATCCCCTTGCGGGGACGGCGCCGCAGGAGGTCGGGAGACCTCCCCCGGCCTTCCCCAGCCATCGGCCTACAGCCCCGGGCTGTGTCCACCACTCACCTGGCATCCTGCACACAGGTGTCCCTCCCTACCTCACCTTCCTGTTTTACCTTCTGTCTTTGCCTTTTGGGATCTAGGGACTCAGACACTATCTAGGTGGGATGTGTGCGTATTGGGGGTTGTGTGATTGGGCCCTTGTGGGCATTGTAAGAATTCTGTTTTATGTTTCTAGGGGTGAGATTGTTGGAGGGGAGGGCTGCTTGGTTCGAACAAGAAATGTAGTATGGTTGCAGTAGCCACAGCTGTCCCATGGAAAGAAGAGAGGGTGGCCAGACTTTCTTATTTGTGGCTGAGCCATTGTGATTGGCTTTCTGAGTCTTGTAGGGGGATGGATACGATTAGGAAACCGCTCTGCTGAGAACTAGGAATGGGTCGAATAATGATTTCTCAAACTCAGATTGGGAATGGGAGGGCTCTGGGGAAAGCGATCTTGAAAATAGAAGTGGATTCTAGTATAGAAAGATGCCCCAGACAGTTCCCTCCATAAAGTGCATTTTCTCTTCCCTTTTCATCCCTCTTCTCCTATAAATCCTTTGGTTCTTGCAAACTTTCTAATATTGATTAGCTTTGTAGGGACAGGAATCCAGAATAAGTGTAAAACTTTGGGGTTGAGGTGGCAAAATGATTAATTATAGAGTCCTTTTTCTGCAGGTACTTTCTGAGACTTCATCCTCAAGGCCTGGTGGCTACCGGCTCTTTTCATCTTCACGGCCACCCACAGAAATGAAGCAGAGTGGCTTAGGTATGGCTTCGCCAGCATTTCTCACCTATTGTTGGAAAAGTTGTCTGTCTGTTCTTCAGAGTTGTATTGTGGGAAACCTTTGTCATGGGGTTTGGAACCATCCAGTCAGTGGAATATCATCAGGTAGGGGTAGGGTGGATGAAGTGGGAGAAGCCATAGTTAGATGTGAACTTGGATCTCAGATGATTGTTCCATCCCAGAAAGGTGTTTATCTCTTGGTTTTCTATACCAATCACATTTCCCTGGCCAAAGGGCATTTTTCTGGCTTTCCCTCTCATTCCTTATCTGTCCCTCCAGTCTAGCCCAGACCTTAAGGGGCCATGGAGACTCTGAACCTTCAGAGTTATCAGAGACAGAGCTATAAATAGAGGTACTTGCAACCCTCGTAAATGTATTCCTCATTTGAAGAATTGTGCCATGTCTTCCTCTGAAACCTGTGTTTTTCACATCCCCGCTGTTACCCTTCCTACCACCATGCCCTTTCCTCCATCATCACCTAATCCTGTAACTTTTTCCCCTTCCTTCTGGAAAATTGACAAGTCTGAGACTGGTGTAGTGGCAGAGGCATCTCTCAGGACTTTGAGGAAATGTCTCTTGATTTTTGGATCCCTGGCAAGGGGTAGAGAATATCATTCAACTTTTAGTGAGAGCACAGACGGCAGGAAGGACCAAGCCTCAGAGGGTATTGTATTCTTTGGGTGAGGGGCGGTCCTTGGGAGGAACTATCTCTGAGCACAGTGCCTTGTGAGCCAGTAACTAGAACTGGAGGTCAGACATGATTGTGTGGGGTCTGGACTTGGTCCCCTTGCTCTTTCTATCTTGTCCTATCATTCTCTTTAGCGCCTCTAATTTTTCTGTTGCTTCGTCCTTGGCACTCATTTTCTTGGCCCCAAAATGGTCAGCTTTTGGACTAGCAAGAGGGAGAAAGGTTTTGGTAACTTTCCAGGCTAATTTTATGAGAATAAGTTGCCTTCTACATTCCTGAAATGAGAAAGATGGTTTGGGGCATGAGAAATAAATGATAAGTATGTAGATCTGGCCAGGCGCAGTGGCTCCTGCCTATAATTCCAGCACTTTGGGAGGCTGAGGAAGGCAGATCACTTGAGGTCAGGAGTTCCGAGACTGGCCTGGCCAACATAGTGAAACCCCATCTCTACTTAAAATACAAAAATTAGCTGAGCATGGTGACGCATGCCTGTAATCCCAGCTACTGGGAGGTTGAGACACGAGAATTTCTTGAACCCAGAAGATGGAAGTTGCAGTGAGCTGAGATTGTGCCAGCATACTCTAGCCTGGGTGCCAGAGTGACACTCTGTCTCAAAAAAAAAAAAAAAAAGAAAAAGGAAAAACCAAAAACCAAAAAACAAAACAACAATAGTGTGGATCTATGACATGGGCCTCTCTTCCCAGAAGTCCCAGTAAAGAATAGGTTCCAGACAGACTAGAAAAGAGGATAGGTGTGTCTAGCCCAGTTAAGTGGGCCACGTGAATGCTTTAAAGAACAAGGCAGAAGTATGGAACTGGTTGGCAGATGGTGGTGGTAAGGTAGAGACCACCCTCTAAGATGATCTGAGGACTGGGCAGAACAGAGTTGGCACGACTGCACCAGAAAAGTATTCAGTGGAGGAAATGTTTGTAGGACAAAACTTAGGGTGGTCTGGGATAGAGCCAGCTAGTTTTAGCTTCGCTGAAGAAAAGCAGTCATATTTAGCAACTGTTATTTCTCTCTGGAATCTCATTCCAGAGCCTGTTTGAACATGAAAGGTGGAGGAAATTACTGTATAGAGGAGAGGTGCTGAATTCCTGGGTTGGAATCATCAGCCATCTGAACTTCCTGATTGCTCTGGTGACCCCGAAATCCTGGGACCCCTGAAACCATGGTCCCTTCTTGGTGGCCTCAAGGGAATTGAACTCCTTTCCACTCCATCCATAGGGAAACCCTATGAATGTTAAGTCACAAGCCAAATCCAGGGTCTTGGCTAAGATGGATTTGGAAATAGGGAGGCAAATCCTGAGAACTTGGGTGTCAGTCTTGTTTCTTCTTGACCACTCTGTCTTTATAGGCTATAGTAGGAGAAGGAACCATCGAATCCTAACCCTCCTCTAGATCAGCTGTTGGAGACAGTGACTGGTCTGATTTATTCCATACTTCAAAGGATATTCAAATTTTATTTAATCCTCTCATTGGCAATGGAGTTCTCTTTGCTTTCTTTGAATTTATATGTGTGGGCAACTGGCTTTCAGCATAGGCTTATGAGATAATACACTTTTGAGAGCAGAAAAAACATATCTTTTTGTTGTTATTTCCTGTATTCCTTCTTAGTAGGGTGCTCATCACATAATAGGCATGCTTTACATATAATCAACTGATTCTTCACATGCCCTTCAATTTCTGTCCATGTTAATTTCAGAAACTGTGCTGGTTCCTGAAAAATAGTTATTTATTTTCTAACAATACAGTTGGTCCTCAGAGTCAGGAGACCTGGATTCTAGTCCAGCTTAGCTGCTAAAGAACTGTGTGACTTTGAGCAAAGGAGGTCCCTTTTGGATCTCGGTTTCCTCATCTCTAAAATATGAAAGTTGAACTGGATGATCTCTGAGTCCCTTCTAGCTTAAAACATTCAATGAGGCGGGGGGTTGTGGCTCACACCTTTAATCCCAGCATTATGGGAGGCCAAGGTGGGAGGGTCACTTGAGCTCAGGAGTTAGAGACCAACTGGGCAACATAGTGAGACCTCGTTTCTACAAAAAATAAAAAAATTGTCCAGGCAAGGTGGCATGTGCTGGCAATCTCATCTACTTGGGAAGCTGAGGTGGGAGGATCACTTGAGCCTGGGAGACAAAGGCTGCAGCGTGCTATGATTGTGCCACTGCACTCCGGCCTGGGCAACAGAGTTAGATCCTGTCTTAAAAAAAGAAAAAAATTATGAGCCTCATACTTTCATTCTTGGGAAAGGTAAAAAGGCCTGAAGGGAGGGGATGTTGGATGAAAAGCTTAGGAAGGATCGGAAGGGTGCCAGCTGAGTGTTCAGAATCAGTCTCTAGCTTCAGTCAAAGGCTTTTCCTTTCAAACCTACAAGGACTAGATTTCTGAGTTTCTTAAGCTATATATCCAGGGTAAAGGGTGTCCAATTAAATCTAGGGGGAATCTAGAGGGACCTACCTATAATTTGAGCATTTCTGAAAGCCACCTGGAGAGCACAGTCTATCCCTTTCTGTGTGTTGAATCCCCTAATATGACCAACCCTGCATTTGTAGTGGCCTCTTGTCTCTGCCATGTAGCTCTTCAGAAGAATCCCCCTTTTGCTTGCCCACTGTGACTATGCAGAAGTGTAAAGCCATTTGTGGTTATGTGGAATGGCCACATGGTGGTGGCTCTGAATGGCTGTGTGTGTGTCTTGATGTTATCATGTGAAGTTGTGTATAGTTCTGTGTGATAGTTGTGGCTTTACGTGACTACTAACACACTCCCAGCCTTGCAGGCTCACAGTGCACAGGGCTGTTCAGCACACAGTGCTGGGTGGCTCCTCCAGCGCCCCGAATCTTCAGGACTACGCCCACAGCCATGGCAAAAAGCTACCACCTGCCAGTCTGCAGCACCGAGATGGTATGTGGGTGGGTTTTGGGGGATAACTCCTTTTTTCACTTGTCTCTCAGCAAGGACATAGCTCAAGACCTATTCATACTTAAGAAGACACTGGCCTGCGGGCGCGGTGGCTCATGCCTGTAATCCCAGCACTTTGGGAGGCCGAGGCAGGCGGATCACTAGGTCAGAAGTTCAAGACCAGCCTGGCCAACATGGTGAAACCCCGTCTCTACTAAAAATAGAAAAATTAGCTGGGTGTGCTGGCGTGCACCTGTAATCCCAGCTACTTGGGAGGCTGAGGCAGCAGAATCGCTTGAACCTGGGAGGCGGAGGCTGCAGTGAGCTGAGATTGTGTCACTGCACTCTCCAGCCTGGGTGACAGAGTGAGACTCAGTCTCAAAAAAAAGGCTGGGCGCGGTGGCTCAAGCCTGTAATCCCAGCACTTTGGGAGGCCGAGACGGGTGGATCACGAGGTTGGGAGATCGAGACCATCCTGGCTAATATGGTGAAACCCCGTCTC